TACAAGGCTCTCGGACCCTGCCTCTTCACACAACCTTTTAGCACAGATCTGTTCAGACCTGCGCTACACTTCTGTGCCTCGCAGCTGCTATAAAACTCAGACGACTATTCTACAAAGTGCCTTTTTATTTTGTTGCCACCTGTTTCTGTCCTTGTTAAAATTAACAATTCCACAACAGTCCCCATTACAGCACTCCGAGTATGTGCTGAGAATGACTCTCAGCTACTATCACACCAAATGTTAGGACCCTTTGGGTTTTCTTGGATTGCTGCATAAATTGGTCATTAAATGTGTTCTGATCTTCATCAGTCACAACAATAGACACACACAGTCTGCTTAAACTTATACCACACACAAAATGAAATGTTTGCATGGTTTTATTGAACACAGTATGTAAACATCCACAGTGCAGGGTGGAAAAAGTATGTGAACCTTTGGATTTAATAACTGGTTGACCCTCCTTTGGCAGCATTAAGCTCAACCAAACGTTTCCTGTCAGGAGGAATTTTGGACCACTCCTCTTCACAAAACTGATTCAGCTCAGCAATATTCTTGGGATGTCTGGTGTGAATCGCTCCCGAGGTCATGACAGCATCTCAGTTGGGTTGAGGTCAGGACTCTGGGCCACTCCAGAAGGTGTATGTTCTTCTGTTGAAGCCATTCAGTTGTTGATTTACTTCTGTGTTTTGGGTCATTGTCCTGTTGCATCATCCATCCTCTGTTGAGCTTCAGTTGGCAGACAGATGGTTTTAAGTTTTCCTGCAAAATGTCTTGGTAAACTTGTGAATTTATATTTCCGTTGATGACAGCAATCTGTCCAGACCCTGAGGCAACAAACCATGATGCCCCCTCCACCTTATWTCACAGTAGGAAGGAGGTTTTGATGATGGAGCTGTGCCTTTTTTTCTAGCATTGAGTGTTCCTTCCAAACAACTCAGTTTTGGTTTCATCTGTTCACAGGATTTTGCCAGCAGTGCTGTGGAACATCCAGGTGCTCTTTTGCAAACTTCAAACATGCAGCAATGTTTTTTTTGACAGCAGTGGCTTCCTCCGTGGTGTCCTCCCATAAACTCCTTTCATGTGTCATGTTTTACATGTTGTAGATTTGTCAACAAAAATGTTTGCATGTGCCAGAGGTTTCTGTAAGCCTTCAGCTGTCACTGAAGGATTTTTCCTCACCTCATTGATCGTTCTGCACTGTGCTCTTGCAGCCATCTTTACAAGATGCCCACTCCTAGGGAGAGTAGCAACAGTGCTGAACTTTCTCCTCTTGTAGACCGTCTGTCTTACCGTGGACACATGAACATCAAGGCTTTTAGAGATACTTTTGTAACCCTTTCCAGCTTTATGCAAGTCAACAATTCTTGAACGTATCTTCTGAGAGCTCTTTTGTGTGATGCATGATTCACATTGAGCAATGCTTCTTAAGAACAGAAAACATAAAACAGGTGTGTTGTTTTGTTTTTTATAGGGTGTCAGGGCACATCCAGTCTCCTCACATTGATTGGACTCCAGGTTGGCTGACACCTGTCTCCAATTAGCTCTTAGAAAAGCCATTTACCTAGGGGTTCACATACTTTTTCTACCCTGCACTGTGGATGTTTACATGCTGTGTTCAATAAAACCATGCAAACATATAATTTTTGTGTGCGACTGTGTTTGTCTGTTGTTGTGACTTTGATGAAAATCAGAACACATTTAAGGATCAATTTATGCAGAAATCCATGAAATCCCAAAGGGTTCACGTACTTTTTCATGCAACTGTATCTGTTTTTTGAGTGTGCTGTGGTGGATTAGCAGTGGCAGGTGTCATGAATCAGGTTGATAATCCCTTATTGATAGTTGTCCAATAATCTCTTCCAGCATCTCATTGGGTTTATATGTTGTCTATCCTCAGCTCACAATAATAAGAGTGTAAGAAGCATCACAAAGGTCAGACTCCTAAAATAATTGCGGTTTAGTGGAACATCGGACACCAACAAGACTTCCATCAGAGAGCTTCCACATACAATAGGTGGTAAGAATAATCCAACAGCTGTCGCAAAACGTGACCAACCCTATTAGGAAGGAAGACCTTGGGTTTTCTTCTGCAACCCCAAAGAACAGCTTTGTGCCCCCCAAGGCCACGAGTGGTGTGGTGTCTTGTCACTCTTGACCGGTCCAATTTCTTCCCACAATAGCACTGAGCCAGGGACAGAGTAGGGTTGCTGTGAGTGCCGGCCATTCTGTGGCCTTTCATTAACAAACTGCTATCTGAGAGCAGCTGAGATATCGGAGAGAGCCTGTTGCTGAGTAGATAAAGACGGGTGAGCAATAAAACTAAACAGAGGTTGAGCTGTAGGGCCTTGATGGCTGTGGCTGCAGCGGTGGTCTTATCTGGAGCGGGACACTGTGGTTTGACCCAACCTTAGCCTTGCGGAGATTTATGGCTGAAAAAAACGGTGAGCGCTTGCCCCTGCAGAGGCTGGATACTTTTTAATCAACCGTTCGAGAACACGCTCATAAAGTCCTCACGTGTGATTGTTTCCTTTTTGTTAATCGATCTGAACCTCAGCAGGAAAAACCTTGACCCTGCGTGCAGGAGAGCGAGAATAGAGTCCGAGTTGTGACACCTTCTCAGCTCGCTCGCATGCTGAGATAATATACACATCAATCAAACTGTATGAACACGGTGAGGCGGTGTTGAAAGGAAGGGGTCTGCATGAGAGCTATTCCAAGTGAATTGTTCCACCTGTAACTCTAACTAGCAGAAAGTATTCAATTACTATCAATGTCTGTTGGCTCACCTTTCTTATCCACTTTCTTTTTTGTAGGAACTGTTTTTAAAATCTGGCACTGACCAGTCTGTAATTGTGCACGGCCCTGAAACACCTCCCTAAAAATAGTCCCCCACTAATCCTCAAGTCCCCTTTGAGAAGTGCTGGACATTACCAGGGATTGACTGACTGCACGATTTCAGGAACACTGCTTTTTTTAAGTTTAATGAAGTGGTACTAGTTTCACCTCGGGGTTGGAAATAACTGTGAAGTGAAGCATTGTTCCAGAAAGGTTCCGATCACTTCCACTGGTGCGGTGTAACACCCTCTTGTGGGGTAAATTAATACAGCTTCTTACCACAGACCCCTGCAGACCACCATACTTCAATTTATTGACGTTTTTGTTTTTCGCAAGATTTTTTCCCCCCTGAATACGGTGCTGCACTTTTGTTCATCTGTTGACAAAGACTAAATACCTTTCCTAACCTCTTTATATGGAAAATGTTTGATAATTTATTGAAGTAGTAGCCACACCAAGATGTGACTGAAGGTAAAGCGTAGAGGGAATATTGGCAACTGGTTTAATTATAGACTTTAAACTTTCCTTTAGGTTTCACGTCCCCATGCTTTTAGTTTTCCATGGTCACAGAGTCTTACAGCCCGCTCAGAGCTAAGATGCTGTCTTCCCACGACAAACTGTGAACAAGTTCCTTAATTCGACTCAGCTCCTCTGCAGCGACATGTCACAGCAGCTTTGAGACATTTAGATCACGCGAGTTCTACATGATTATCAGTGCGGGATGTCTTCGCGTTTGCTTGAAGGGGAACATAAATCGTGTCCTCAGCTGCCTAGCGGGGCTGGAAACTGTGTGCCAAGCCTGCCAGGGGCCACAAAAATAAAGTGAAAGAAGGRAGCAGGCTGCAGTCAGGGTGGCATGCACACCCTGTAGAGATTTTGTAAAATGAGACCCAAACTGAAACGGACAGCTGAAACAACTCACAGTGCTGTTGAATTTAACACTTTGATGTCTTGCGGGAAGCATATGCCTTATTTTATTACTTCTAAAAGTGTTTTTTCCCCCCTAAACCACAAACTATTATTGAGCTACAGGGAAAAAAAAAAAAAMAAAAACAAAGAATGTAATATTCCCAAACTGGAAGCAAATAACTTTTCCAGACTCACTTTCTTATTGAAACTGATAAGGTTTATAGGCTGTGTCCCAGTAAAGCATTTCGTAGTTACGATTACTAGTAGCCTAGCTCTTCCAGGTCAAATGTCAACTGGTAAAACAGAGGTTATGAAAACAGCATTGGAATCGTGCAAATTCAACAAGCTCAAAAAGCTGATTTATAGAATAGATATTTATGAAAATCTTATCTACGATCCTAAAGGAAAATTTAACACATCAGTTTAGAGCAAATACATTGGGTCTGTATAATGGTGTAAATTTTCTGGTTGAGTTTCCTCACTTCCAATGGTGCTTACATGGCAACTTCAGCGTTTTCTGAAAAACCGCGTGAGCTCGGCTTACTTCGCACATTTGTAATGATTTTTAACTACAAAAGGGTTTATTCAGGGGCTGCTTTTWAAAAAAATTTTTTGTAGGACCGGCCTACCCGATCAACAGGGACCGGGTTCTTTGTCGACCGCGAAGACCAGAAGAAAACGGCTGTGAATTTGGATAGTCTAGCCTTCAGCTTTATTCCTGTCCTTAATCCGACGCATGTCCTGTCACCTAGAAATGAAGGTTGAAAATAGTAAAACATTATTATGAATTAACAAAATTAGTTTAGAAGTAATATGAGCTAAGGAACTCTCCATACATGCTTGTCTATTTCTGCCAAGAATAAAAACATATCTATGCAAATGACAAGCCTAACAACACAACAGCTTAGTTTTTGTACCACCAGATTTAATAATCTAATTAATAATTAAATTTCTCACTCTTCGTTTACCATTACCAGCAAAAAATAAATAAAAAATAATAATAATAAAAATTCTCCCAGTCAGCTTGCAATGCATCTTGAGATAGGGTGGGCTGTGAAGGACACACCAGACTCGTTTCTCAAATCAAGTGAAARGGACCGGAATTGGAAGCGCCTTAGAATTTGGACAGACTTCAGCGCATTGCTGTGATGTAATCGGCCTTCGAAGGATGCAGCCCTGAATTTTGACACAGCCGCAGAATTATTTTATCACATATCTGAATGTACCGCAATCGAAAGGATGATGAGAAACCCAACTGGACTGCTCGCATTTTATTAAGACTTTTAGGATTGGATCCTCCCAGTGATGTTCCAACACACATCAAAATATATTTATAGCATAAACACACAACAGCATTTCAAACATCTACAAGTCCACAGGATCGCACTGCAAATGAGAAAAATGAGTCATGCYTTAACGTGTGTGGAGCAAAAAACAAAAACAAAGCTACAACTGGGAAGCAGGAGTAAATCCTGGGGTAGGAAACGGACAATAGATTTCGTGTTTTACAGTAGTCAAGGTGGCCAACTCATTAGTACATCCAAGTCTTGTGTACAATCRATCATAGCTGAAAAAGCTAATAACAAACAGAATGTTTACACACAGAAAGAAGTCATTCCTTAAATTGAAATTTCCCTAACTTTACAAAAACTCTTACAGGCAGATTTTTACAAACCAGGCTGTTTACCTGGACTTTATTCAGATCTACTCATGGCTGGTTTGACTCCCTTTTGTCGACTGGTTCCTTCTTTGCCTGACAAAATAAGTTCATTTACAATATTCACAAAGATGTAGCCAGCCTTTTAGATTCCTCTCTCAGTTAAATAACAGATAAAACATTTGTCAGCGGGACACGATTAGTCAGCTGTGCTGTCTTGTAAGAACGATTCAGGCCATGAAGATCTTTWCAAATGAGAACACCGGTGCAGCACGTTTCATCCCGTCTGTTATTTGTGTCCTGATCTGTGGTCTTTTGTGGACCACGTCGTCTCCACAGGGGCATGTTTACATTTAGGAGCATAGTTGCAGGTAGGTGATTGGCACAGGTCACATGACTTGCCACGTGAGCGTTGGCAGGTCTGGAAAACATCTAAAGGGGCCCAACGCCAAAATCCATCACAGGACTTCTGGAAAAGGCACAAAAAAGAGGTTTAAGGTCAGAAGGAGCAGAAGCTTCAGAAGATTTATTAACACATGCTAACAGATGAAACAGGCCTGTTTGTAACTAAAATAGGATCTGTATCGTTGAACTGAGTAATGCTACRGTGGGTAAACCTTTGACCTGTTGACAATACTAAATGCAAACCGATACTAAACATGCCACATGTGGCAAGACCCCATAAACCTTTACAAAGATCTAATGACAAGACTACAAAGATCTAATGACAAGACTGAAAGGTAGAACCTTTTTATGAATTAAGAGTAGTGACTGTGTAAAACCCAGAAATATTTTACTGAACATGATAGCTACATGGGTGATCTTTTCATTTACAGGCATTCAAATAAACTGCAGATACATTAAATCAGTTTGAAATACGAGGACTGCCAGGCTGCTCATCTTACATATCCAGATTTATGAGTGAAGACGAGAAGCCGGAATCTTTAGGTTTTATGACAGGGTTTACAGAAGGAGAAAGGTAGAGCTGAGACTACTGCTGATTTAAGAACAAGAAAAGAACAGGAGTGCTAGCAAAGAAACCTGTGTTCATTTTCCTGACATGGTACTAATGGCTGCTTGCTTGTCTTCAGAGCAACAGGTGAAAGTGAAAATCTTGCCAACAGGCGGAGAGAGAGGGGCGCTGCTGACGTTGCTGCTGTCCGGAGATGAGTGCAGCATTGCATAGTACTTAATTGCTTTCGGGTCCAGTTTCTAACCCCTGGCAGTGAAGCGTTTGTGGAGAGAGGCTCCTCGTCRTCTTTGGAATTCCTGACAGGGTCTGAGCCCGAGTCAGTGGAGCTGGTGAATAAAGCTGTCAACAGCACAGAGATACCCTGCTTCTTTCCGACCTTTCCTACAGTTCCATATCCCACCTCCGCCCTTTTTTTAGTGCAAGTGAGCTCTATATACCACACCTTCCTCTCCTTGGAGGGCTTCTCACTTTTAGAGGTGATGACCTGTAGACTTGATTGAGAACAAGCTCATGTTCATCGATGCTACAGGGAAAGGACAAGTCATCTACTGTATACCTGCAGACAATGCATGATTTGTTTCCTTTTCCCTTCCTCTCAATAAGTATTAGCAGATGGAGCCATAGGTCATCTTGAGGACTTCTTTTACACTCAGCCATGTTACAAGTCTGTAGTTCAGGGTATGTAGATGGTTTACGAAGTATCCGATACACAAAAGATTCTGAACCTGTGGGCCACGAGCACCACCTTGAGGGCCTCAAAAGAACAACAGTTTTTAACTTTGGGCCGCAGAGGGC